ACCATAATAATAATAATATTAATTATTTTTAGTATTATCATAGAATAATATGTTATGGTATTATCACAACGATAAGAATTGATAAAATACCATAGCCCACAAGCGACATGGCGGAAAATCGGCGTCCCCCGGATTACTTGTCAATTTATACAAGTTAGCAATCTAGTTTTCTAGTTTATTATCTATATCTGTGTAAACACATGAACAATCTAAGATTTCGTGTATTATATCAAAATAGTCGGCACTGCATGAAAGCATCAATGGACTGTATATTGTCATATTGATGTAGATGACTTGCTCTATACAATATGCAGTTAATAATGGTTTAAATGGAGTTTAATAAACAAAGCGTTATGAAAATCGACTTCGTGAAAATCAGTTAAAATAAATAAAAACGCGTTGCCTAAAAATATCTGTATTAAAAAGTTTTGTCGCCCTTGGCGTATAAACTCCATTGTACAATTGGATAAAGTTTATTATATTATCCGGGTAAAATACACACTTTCCGTTTTCTGACCTTACTATTGTAACACATTATAATTAATGTACCTTATCATAAATTATTAGACGTAAATAGTATTTAATTTATCGCGTTAAAAGATTTTTATAAATAATAAAGTAATTTAACATTGCAATATTCCTGCAGTTGGCTCTAAATGAAAACTTGTAATTATCATCAAGCCATACTATATAGCGAGAGGTGTGACGGAGAAAGGTATTAGGTTAGACAAACTATGAACTGTTTACGAATTACAAATATTTATAATACAATAATAATATAGAAAGTGACGAAATATCGAGTTTTCTTGTTTTGTCGTAATTATTTTTAAAGTTATTATTAAAGCTGGTCACAGACTACGGTTTTAATTGTCCGTGTACGGTGTGCGGTGTAGTTCGACATTTTTAGTTCGTATACCGATGAACGATACACACTATYCATTTTAAATCTTTGTACGGTGTTCGAACAATACGGACCGTTTTTTTAAAAATTACTGAATCGACCACAAACTATCAACATTATTATCAACGTACTAGTCGTACTTAAGAGGACGCTACACCCGCATACGTTGTCTTTG